AAACAACCTAATGTGGGAAGAAAGGTGGAAAACCATCGGTGAAAACTTAAGCATGCAAATGGGCTACAGGAAAATGAAATGGTGCTGTGCTGACAGGATCAAATCCACAGGATGGTGCTAATGCAGGGGCTGCAGGGGGGAGCAGACATCATTTCAGCTGCTTTAGGAGCCATCACCTTCCTCTCGCTGGGGTGGTCCTGGCCTGGGAAGGCCCCAAATGCCACCCCCAGCTGGAGCAAGGGTTCTTCCCCCTCCTCCTCTCTAAGCCTGGCAGGAGTGATCAAGCTAATTAGTTAATTAGCTGCCATTGAGACTGATTGAGGATGAGGGCTCTCCCTGTGCAGGTGCTGTCTGGGAACCTGAGCTCCCGGGGTTCCTGGGTGGTTTTAGTTTTCTTGGTCTGTGTGTGACATGTAATACGCTGTCAAATGTCTCAAATGCTGGCAGCGTGTTCAGGGCTGATGTTTTTGCTCTAAAGAATATTTCAGATGAGCTTTCATGTTTTATGTAGCTCATTTACTACTTGCATTTCTGCCATGCAGATGTGATGAGAGACGATCTGGTTTAAATTTTTCTCTTGACTGTAGCCAGCCCTTTCAAACTCCTCTGCGCTGTGACATGATGCTTAAGACATCGCCACAAAAACAAGTGTGTGTGTATTCCTCACGTTCCTAGGGGACTAAAGCTCAGAGGTGAACAAAGCTTCCTATTGATGCCATTTAAAAAAAAAAAAAAAAAATCTAATTGCAGAACCAATTAGAAACAACATAAATCACCTAAAAATAGCTTCAGGTACTAAAGCCATGTGGATTTCTCCTCTTAGGTTACAAAGATTTCTGGTGAGGCTTGGCTAATTATCCTCACCCATTGCATTTGGTGTGGGGCGACTGGCCTGAGCATCTGGGGCTGGCTGCGAGTGGAGCCCCAAGGTGCTGTGCAAACACCCAGAGGGAATGAAGAAAAATGTTTTCCACCTAATCTTGTTACTGTGACAACAGCAGTGAAACCTTTTAAAGCGGAAAAATACAATTTTTTAAAGAGATTTTGCTGTCCCTTCAGCTCTCTGACAAATGCTATCTGTAGCATGTGCTGCCTGCCTTGCAATAGTGCTGTAAGCTTGATGGCAGTCCGATGGCACAGAGCTTGGATTTCCAAGAAAGCTATGAATACTTTTATAATAGAAATTTCTTGGCTAGAAGCAATGTAGTTAAAGGGTCACCCTTTTCTTTCCTGCTTTCTAGCCCATCTGGGCTAGTTGCTTTTATATCTGTTTTTATTTCCTTCACTTCCGACTTCCAAGCTCCTTCCCCTAGCACTCTCTTCCAACACACTTTTCTGCTTTTTCTTTTAAATTGGTGTTCCCCAGATGTCCACTTTAAGCCACTTTTGCTTGAAGCTTGATGTTGCTGGTAGTTTATTGCATCTCCTTCCCTAGTGTGGACTGGTACAGCATTTCCACTCATCTCAAACACAAGCATCACGAGTTGCATCTGCTTTTATGCGAGTCAAGCTCCCAAGTCTTCCTCGTGACCCAAATCCTGCAGGTTTGGCTGGCAACAGCGGTCTGAGAAGCTGGGGCTGCTCTCAGCCTCTTTGTGTGGTGCTGGATGAACCCTTGCAGGTTCCCAGTATAGAGTTATGTGGTTGCTAGAAAACAGGTTGGAAACATCTAGCAGTCACCTCTTGACTAGAAACCTAAAATTATTAGCCAGCAGCCAAATGGAAAGATGAGGAAAAGACTGAGGTACTTAATGCCTTCTTTGCCTCAGTCTTTAATAGTAAGAGCAGTTGTTCTCTGGGTACTCAGCCCCCTGAGCTGGAAGGCAGGGACAGGGAGCAGAATGAAGACCCCATAATTGAAGGGGAAATGGTTAGCAACCTGCTATGCCACTTAGACATACACAAGTCTATGGGGCTGCATGGGATCCCCCCAAGGGTACTAGGGGAGCTGATGGAAGTGCCCACCAAGCCACTTTCTATCATTTATCAGCAGTCCTGGCTAACTGGGGAGGTCCCAGCTGGCTAGAGGTTAGCAAATGTGACGCCCTTCTACAAGAAGGGTCAGAAGGAGGACCCAGGGAACTACAAGCCTGTCGGCCTGCCCTCGGTGCCAGGGAAGGTTATGGAGCAGATCATCTTCAGTGCCATTGTGTAGCACGTATGGGACAACCAGGTGCTTGAGTTTATGAAAGGCAGGTCCTACTTGACTAACCTGATCTCCTTCTATGACAAGGTGACCCACTTGGTGGATGAAGGAGAGGCTGTGGGGGTTGTCTACTTAGACTTTACTAAAGGCTTTGACAGAGTTTCCCACAGCATTCTCCTGGAGAAACCAGCTGCTCATGGCTTGGATGGGCATATTTTTTGCCGGGTAAAAAACTGGCTGGATGGCTGGGCCGGAAGAGCTGTGGTGAATGGAGTTAAATCCAGCTGGCAGCCAGTCACAAGTGTTCCCCAGGGCTCAGTACTGGGGCCAGTTGTTTCTTATCTTTATCAGTGATCTGGATGAGGGGATCAAGCGCACCCTCAGTAAGGTCACAGATGACACCAAATTGGGTGGGACTATTGATGTGCTTGAGGGTAGGAAGGATCTACAGAGGGGTCTGGGCAGGCTGGATGGGTGGGCCGAGGCCAGTTGTATGAGGTTCAACAAGACAAAGTGCTGGGTCCTGCAGTTGGGTCGCAACAACCCCCTGCAAGGCTCCAGACTTGGGGCAGAGTGGCTGGAAAGCTGCCTGGTGGAAAAGCATCTGGGGGCATTGGTTGACAGCTGGCTGAATATGAGCCAGCAGTGTGGCCAAGAAGGTCAAGGGCATCCTGGATTGTGTCAGAAATAGGGTGGCCAGCAGCACTAGGGCAGGGATCGTCCCCCTGTGCTCAGCACTGGTGAGGCTGCACCTCGAATACTGTGTCCAGTTTTGGGCCCCTCATTACACGAAAGACATTGAGGTGCTGGAGCGTGTCCAGAGAAGAGCGACGAAGCTGGCGAAGGGTCTGGAGCACGAGTCTTAGGAGGAGCAGCTGAGAGAACTGGGGTTGTTTAGCCTGGAGGAAAGGAGGCTGAGGGGGAACCTTATCGCTCTCTACAACCACCTGAAAGGAGGTTGTAGCAAGGTTGGGGTCAGTCACTTCTCCCAAGTAACAAGTGAAAGGACAAGAGGAAACAGCCTTAAGTTGTGCTAGGGGAGGTTTAGGTTGGATATTAGGAAAAATTTCTTCACCCAAAAGGTTGTCAAACACTGGAACAGGCTGCCCAGGGAAGTGGTGGAGTCACCACCCTTGGAGGTATTTAGAAGACACGTAGATGTGGCTCTTAGGGACAGGGTTTAGTGGTGGGCTTGGCAACGTGAGGTTAGCGGTTGGACTCTAGGATCTTAAAGATCTTTTTCCAACCTAAATGCTTCTGTGATTGGAGCCTTAGATGAGGCAGCGCTGAGGTGGACCCCAGCTCCATCCTGCCCAAATTCTGCCCCAGTCAGCGACCAGTGGGACAGATGATGTTTGAGCTGTGACTGGGTCTGGACTAAACCAACAGCTCAGCCAGCAAGTTTTATTTATTATTATTTAGGAAGTGCGAGGATGTATAGAGGAAGGTATGTATCTCATGGCGTTAAAAGAAAAAAAACAAAACAAAAAAAAAAACAACAAAACCCCAAACACCACAGGAGAAATACCTGGCTTTTTTTGATCTCGGAAGGCTGCACGCTCCATCTCTTGGGTGAGAAGAAGCAGGGGAGGTGGGGAAGGTGACCCTGGGGGATGAAAAGAGCAGCGCAAGCCCTCGCCGGGAGCCGAGGGAGTCGGCAGCGCGGGGCGGAGGAGCGGGGGCTGCCCTTTGCCCCCCGCGGCGGCTGGTGGCCCATGTGGCAGTGGACTTTGTCAGCGGCGCCCGGGGAGCGGCCGGAGGGCCCCGGCGGGCTCCGAGCAGGTGTGTGTGGCTGCCACGGAGGGTGGGGGGGAACCCCTGGCCGAAAATTAGGGGGGGGGGGCCCTTGGTGGGGATGGGTGCCTGGATTCTTGTGCCCCGGGGGGCTGTTTAAGGGCAAGGGTTTAACCCCGGTTTCACCCAGAAGGGGCACGAACTGAGCCGCCTCTGTCCAGACCTGAGTGCGTCCCCACTGCCAGCCCTGAAATGACCCCAAAATGCTTTAAACTTTGAGTGTGAGCGGGGCGACGAGGGGTTCGGGCAGCGGCTGGTTATCTGTCTGTCTCGGGGAGGTTTGTGAGCCTTTGTGGTGGAGGCAGTTTGGGTACTGATGCTGCAAGGGCCGGGGGGGGGGGAGGTTTAAGGGTGACATCCCACCTCCCCAGCAGCTGGAGCTTCACCTACATGTTGCCCTGAGTTCTCCTTAGGGTTTTGTCTTCGGTGTGGGACTTTATATTTAAATCTGGTGTCTGCCTGAACTGCTGTATTCCTGCTGGAGCTGAAAGGCAGGAGGAAATCCCTGTTTCCACCCCATAGCTCACATGAGCAAAGCTCCGTTTCTCCCTGCCTCTGTCCCTACTTGTTTTTTTTTGGAATTACTCTCCTTGTCCTGCTCATAGCTTTGCCAATATTCCTTCCCCTACCACATATGAAATTAGGTTTCACTGCCTTGTCACAAAGGTAAAGCTGATTTCCCACCTGCTAGGGGAGGCTGTGAGCGGTGGTGCTTTGCCAGAGTTGCAGGAGGATGCTACCTCTTGCTCTGGGAAGAGCCTGGATGCCTGTTGCTTTCACAAATGGACCATTTCATGCCAGTGTTTTAAGCTTAAGCAGATGTGGAGATGGCTTTCCCTTGCCTCTGGGCATTTTGGAAAGGATGCTGGGTTTCCAGCAGGCTCCCCAAGACAGAGTAGATGGCAACAGCCTTCATGGGGTGGGGGGGGGCCTGTGAGGGGGGTGAAAAGCTGCTGATCAAACGCGCTGTGACTTATTGCTTGCAGGCTACTAAAGCTGCTTGGGACTTAACCTCCCCTCCCACCCCCGAACTGGAGAAGATCTCGCTGGCAAGCTTGTGATGGACCCCTGGGCCCCGGCTCGGCTGCCCCAGCCCCGGGAAGGGCAGGCAGCCCGGGGGCCATGGGGAGAGGCTTACCGTGCCCCCCTGCCGCAGCCCAGGCGGCAGCTCCTCCGCGCGGGGCCCCCGCCTCGGCCCGGCTCCTGGGACGGGGGTCACCTCCCCGGCCACCCCCGGGATGAAGGCCACCAGCCCCGGAGGGATGCTGCCCGCAGCCCGGCTTCCCGGGCGGAGAACTATGAAAGCAGCCGCCCCAACAAGCCGTACGCCAGGTGAGAGCCACCCGACTTTGCGGTGCTTGCGCTGAGCTGCCTCCCTGTGAACACCCCTTAAAATAAGACTTGACCATTTCACTGCTCTCCCGGGCTTGCAACGCGGGTCCTGCCCTCATAACTGCGGAGGGGAAGCTGTGAGCAGCCTCGAGGAGGCAGTGCGTGATTAGGTGATGTCCTGCTATTAAAGCAGCCGGTGACTTCTATATTTAAGGCTGTGTAGCAATTGCAGGCTCCCATTTCTTCCTCCAGCTGCGACTTCTGCGGTTTTACAGGCTTTGTCTCAGTCCCGAGGTGCATTTTTTCCGGAGGGTTTGATTAAACGCAGTTCTTTTTTGCTAAGTGCAAGGTGAACCATAAAAATACAAATGGTAATACAGGAGCAAAGGGGAGCTTGCAAGCTCACCTGCTGCAACAGCGGAGGGTGGAGGGATAAAATGTGGGCTAGAGGATGCTCTCGGTGTCAAGAGCGAGATTTGAGCGCTCCAGCAAATTCGGGTTGATTTGCCTGAGTTATTGCCCTCTGTGAGTGACGGTGTGGACACGCAGGGTTTTGTGCCGAGGTGGTACGATGCCCGCAGTGGGAAGGGGGGGGTGTTGCGTGGGGCTGACCAAACTGCCATGTAAATTGTGAAGGGTTAAGGTACACGCGTGCCGGGTGGGTGGCTTGGGCTGGGGTTGGGCTCTGGCGCGGGGGGATACCTGCTGAGCTGTGTGGTGGACACGGCAGCTTTTGGGAAGGTGCTTTTGAGGGACCTTTCCTAAAATGTGGGTGAAATTTGATCCCCGTGAGAAGTCCACGCCATCGAGCTGAAACTGGGCACCACCTGAAACTGCAGCGCACAGCTTCCTCGTAGATGGGGATGGGAAAGTATCCAAACCTCCTGCTGCTTCTTTCAGGCACAATGCTGGACCAGTTGCTGTCCCTGCTGCTGAGCAGGGGACCTGAATTTATTTCCATCACCCTTTTGCCTTCAAAGGTCCCACCTGGGGCATGAGTCTAACCCTAGATGTGGTGCAGAACCTGCAGCGGTGCCTTTTCTTTCTCAGATTAAGGATGTTGTGTTGTGTTTCAGGCAAGGATATGAAGACCCCCACAGGCACTATCCATCAGCCAGCTACGGGGATGACTACACCTACCAAAGCCACCGGTGGCAGCCAGTGGCCTGGCAGGACGACAGAGGTACGGGCTTATCCTTTGGGTGTGGGGATGGAGGGAACTAGCTTGCAGGAGAAGCTTGCACATCTCCGGGCTGTTGGTGCTGTTTTCCCCGTGCCCTCAGTTTGGGCAAATCTGAGCAGGAACTAAGTGTACCCAAGAGAATGTCTGATCTTGAGCTCCATGGCTATAAATCCTGTGTCATACCCAGTTCCAGGCAGAACATGCTGCTGATGGTGCTGTGTGATCAGGGTGGCCGAGGCCCTGTTTTTGCTGTTTCTGGAGTCCCTGGCCTGGAGAAAAGGGGAGGGAGGAAAGAAAAGGGCATCAGCACTGTGTTGGCAAACGTGCACAGGGCTTTATCATCCCTCCAATGTGTCGGGCTAATTTGGAAGCAAATGGGGTGTGCATGGCAAATTGCCTGACTCATTGCTTTTCTTTTGCAACTTCATTATGGCTTGTTGCTCTGGAGGGGCAATGCTAAATCTTGATTCTCTCTCTAGACCTGAGACAGGGAGAGCCTTATGGCAAGGGTACCAATTACCGGGACCAGCACTACTACAGGGGTTACCACCCCAACCTGGCCATCACTACCCCAGGACAGGACAGGTAAGGGGTGGGGAGCCTGGGCATCACTTGGTACAACCACCTGCTGCAAAATTAGCAGGTTTGTGGCTAGTCCCAAAAGTCTCTGACCTTCAGGACGTCTCCTTTTGCTCCCTTCTGCAGGACACAGACCTACGACTCCTATGAGGAGAGACACATCTCAGCTGCCCGGACTGAATGGGCAGGGGGAGAAACCCCTGGCAGAGATTTGGGGGAGTCCAGTGGCCAGCCCCGAGAGGTAACCTCGAGATAGGCAAGAGTGGAGGACAAAAGGCTCGGGGCTTTCCCAGAGGTTTTGGGAGCAATCCATGTGTCCTTCCTCCAGCTGCAAAGGAGGCTGAGGAGAAAATGGCTGCTTTGCTAGGTTGTATTTGGTGTTTAGGAGACTCTGGGGATTATTATAGTGGGTTGTTAGTGTTTATGAGCTCTCCATCTGCTGTGCTGCTGTTCTCCCAGGCATGGGGCTCTACACTGCTCCTGCACGGGGCCAAGAGCAGGACAGAAATCCAGGCTAGGTGGGATGCTTGCCTGTATCCTCCCTAGCTATCCAAAAGCTGTGTGTCATTTTCAGCTCTGTCCACCACAATCTGCTCCACCGCACTAGTCCCGATCACTGGCTTCTGCCAAGAGCAAATGAAAAGATCAAATCAAAGCTGCTGGTGGTGGTTTTGCTCCCGGGTAATGTTTTGTTTTCTGGGTTCCCAAGCCCCCTTTGCTGGCTGTTTTGAGGAGTCCATGTTAGGGGTAGGAAGGCTGTTGGTCTAGACAGGGGGCTGATTTATTTTAAAAGCAAGTGAGTATGACCAGGGTATGTGCCATGACGAACTTAAGATGCTGAAGAGTGTGAGCTTCTTAAGAATCATCTGCGCTGTGTTTCTCCCCCTGGGCCCTTTGACGGAGCAACAGAGCCCGTCCCACTGCCCTGGGAGCAGAAAATCAGCGGTGTCCTTAGTTTCTCAGCCGGGTTTGTGTTGTGTCCTTCCCTCGGGCCAGCCCAGCCTGCTCCTGCAGTACCGTGAGTCGGGGCTCAGCTCCAGCGGCTACGAGCTCAGCCAGTACATCCGTGACGGTGCTGACCACCACGACCCTACGCTTTCGGGGACCTGGAGCCTGGCACAAGCAGGTGAGGTGTGATGGGGTCCTGGCCCCCCTCTGACGAGGGAGGGGCTGAGCAAGGAAAATAAATGGCTGGAGTTAGGAGATTTGCTGTCTTGCAGCTTGTCCTTTCCTGGAGGAGGTTGTGCAGGCACAAGGAATGACCTGGGGGGGGCTGTGGGGTGGGTGTGTGGTCCAGTGACTCTGCCCTAGTAGGTGCACGAGCTGCCATGCATGCCTTCTGCTTTAGGGGACAGTCCCTGCGTGGGGGGTGGGGATCAGTGGGGGGCTACTTAAATTGGGGGGGCCAGGATGAGACCTGGTCGTGTCCTCCATAGCGGAGGTGGCGTGGGGTCAGGGGACTCACGGTGGCCTGTGTGTCATTGCAGGGGGGCCCTTGGTGTCCACCCCAGCCCCAGTGGGACCCCTCAAATTCTCGCTGCCGCATGTGGCAGTGTGCTTTGGAGCGGGAGGGCAGCTGGTGCTGGTGTGTCCCCGCCACCCTGCCGAGGGGCAGCTAGCCCACGTCGAGCTACACAGCCTGGAGGTATGCCACCGCCCTCGGTCCCCTTGCTGGACTGGCTCCTTTTGCCCTGAGGGATGCAAACACCGTTTGTCCCCCCCTGTCTCCTTAGCAGCTTTCCCGTCCCCTGCTGCCCTCTTTTCTCCAGCCCACACAGACTCTTGAGTCTGCATCGTGCCAGCCTGCGCCTGGGCATTGCTTTCAGGCCCCGCACCCTGCTCCTTCAGCTCTGCAACCCTTGCCATCCGTGACCTGTTCACAGCGATCCCTTCTGATGGGGACAGATGTGCCCCACACCTCTCCGAAGGATAATTCCGCTCGCCTTTCTGAGGTGCTCCAATACAGAGGCTGCATCCATCCCTCGAATCTACCACAGCGTTTCAGTCTCCTATTTTGCCTCCCAAAGAGGCAGATGCCATCTCAACAGGCATTTCTTTCCTGGACCCCTTAGCACTGGGGTCCATGTGATGGTTTATGGTCCATGCTCTTGGGGTTACCTTAAGATAGCACAGAGAATGGGTTCACCAGCACCACTGAACCCTTGGCCAAGGCATTGACTTTCAGCTAGCCCAGCTGTGGCTGGCCTGATTGCTGGAGTCCAGCTGCTGAATTTGCTCTTGTTTTTTAGGTAATCCTTCATGACACTAAAGAGCTGGAGGAGCTACGAGCCTTCCCGGGGCCCCTGGCCAGGTATGCCACACCAGCAGGTCCAGGAGCTGTGTCCTCCTGGCTGTGCTGGCCTGGGAACACCTCTCCTTTGGGAGGAGACATGAGCTCAAGACAGACTTTAAGGGTCCCTGTGGTTTTGAGATCTGCAAAGGCCAAGTCTAGGCTCAGAGTGGGAGCCCAGGCCCTCTGCTGCGGTGTAGGTTGGCTTGGATTGTGGAAGGTGGTTTCTCTGAATGCTCATAGGGTGTGGGTTTAGTGTGGTTTGTATGTCTGACCTTATTTTGTACTCGTATCCCAGAAAACTGATTTTTAGGAGACCCCTTCAGATGTCTAAAGCCCTGGGTCAACCTGTGGTTTAGCCTTTCCTAAGGCTTTTGTCCCTGAGACCGTTGGGCCCACGGCAGTGTCGGACTCGGCACGCACCTTCATCCAGCGTGAGCCTGGGGATGAACGGTGGAATATTGCATCAGGTTGTCTCTGTATCGTTCTGGTTACACCAGCATGTCTTCTGGTCACTTGCAACCAAAGCGGGGAGAGACAAGGAGTGTGCAGGAGGAGAAAAACCACTTACTGAGCAAGAGAGCTGTGTGTGCCTAGAAGCTGGGTAGAAGACCAGGAGGTTGCCACTTGTGCTAAAGGGGATGTTGGGAATACCCATATGATATGTTGGTGTGATTGAGTCAGGATCTGCTGATTTATTTATTTATTTATTTATTTATTTATTTATTTTATTGTAAGACAGCAGTTCTGCCAGGTTTGCACATAGCTTAAAGGCTTCTGCTTCTCTTTCAGACCCAAAGGGTTTATGTGGTCATAAGCATGTCTTTCTCCCTTCACTGTCAAAGTTAATCAAAGATACTGCCTGTGTTGTGCCTGTTCCTACAGCCGTGGATATCCATGGCTGTAACAGCAGTGCAGCTAAGCAAAACTGAGGTTCTTTGCAAGTGGATGGATGAAAATGTTATCAGGAGGGCAGAGAAAGGGTTTGAGATGCCCTCTGCATGCCTGAAACACAGAAAAGTGCAGAGAGGCATAATAATGGTCAAATTTAAACATTTTTTGCTCTTGGTGTTGCGAGGGTGGTATGTGGTTGTTGACACTGCAGATCTTCTCTGTCTCTCACTTTGAATCTTCAGCATCCCCATCAGTGTACCTGGGGATGCTTCAAATCTGAATGATTGATGACCTAGATTGCTTTGCCTTGTGTTTTTTTGGTGTTTTTTTTTTTTTTGGTGACTTCCTCTGTTGCTGTAGGGAAGATCTGCACAAGGTAGATGTGATGACATTTTGCCAGCAGAAGATAGCCACGAGCTGTGATCTCTCAACACAGAGAGGCAGAGATTCAGCTCTTCTCTGGAAACTCCTGGTCCTCCTCTGCCAGCAGAATGGGGTAGGTGACCCATGGGAAGGGGCTGACCCTTTTGATCTTAGAAGTGAGACAACTTACATGTCCCTTATGTACCTCTTGATCTAGTTGCTATTTTTAGAGGGTTGCACCTTAAAAGCATCCCGCTCCCACAGTACCATCAGTCGGTTTGGTACTGCCTGAATATTTGGAGCAAACCCTTCTCCTGGATTGCTTTTCATCCTTGTGAACTACCAACAACCCAGTGCTTATAGTGGCTGTGAAAGGGACTGTTGCCACCTTCACCAGGGAGCCAGCATTTATGCTTAAAAGGGGATTATTCCCTTAACCCAGTGAAATCCACCCGATCTAATCCGTGGCTGCTTGCTGGAAGCAGATAAGATCTTCAGAACTAGTGCTGTGAAGGTCTTGCTAGTTGCGTTGAACCCTTTGCCCTCCAAAACTGTGTGCTGGTGGCCAAGGGTGGTCTTGGAAGGGAGATGTGCTGGGACAAGGGCAGGGGCGTAAAGGTGTTGGACTGGAAATGCCCTCAGCCTTCGCTCGTGGGGCAACCTCCCCTGGCCTTGCTCTTCACCTTCCCTTTCGCAGTCCATGGTGGGCTCAGACACGGCTGAGCTGCTGCTGAAAGACTGCAGGCGCCAGGAGAAGTACAAGAGGCAAAACCCTGCGGCAAACGTGATCGGCCTGACAGACGATGAGTGGATGTCGCGTCAGCCGGGGACGCTGGACCTCATCACGGGGGAGGTCCCTCCTGTTGTGGAGACGCAGGCACAGATAGTGGAGAAGTTCACCAAACTCCTCTACTACGGCAGGAAGAAAGTAAGTGGTGAGTGGGATCCAGGACACAGGGCTGATTTCTGTGGTGGTGGCATCAACCCTGCAAGCCGTTTGTACAACAGGGCTTACGGCAGCAATTTCCCACTGCTGGGATCTGGGATGGGGCCCTGAGTTGAAGTCTGAGATGCAGAGGCTTTTCCAGCACCGTGGTTTTATTTGCAGCTACGTGATCTCAAGGGATACCAAAGGCACAGGCAGAGAGAAGGGGGATGGATGCAGAGAAGCTGGGGTCCCACAGCAGTGGCATTGAGAGCCAACAGAGGCAACACAGACCTGGCACTCCAGGAAAGACAGTATTCCTGTGAAGGTCCCAGTTCTTGTCCTTGTGCAAGTTAGAAAGATAAAGGGGCCTTTGTGAACGTGGAAGTTGGTTTTGGAGGTTATTAGTTAAAGCCAGAGTAGTTGTCAGAGCTCATCTCTGAGCTGAGTGAGTGGAGGGCCCTGTGCCAGCAGAGGAGGGCAAGGAAGAACAGAATTAGTGCAAACCCTTTTTCTTTTCCACCGTGGCTGCAGGAGGCTCTGGTCTGGGCCATGAGAAACCAGCTGTGGGGCCATGCCCTCTTCCTCTCCAGCAAGATGGACCCTCGGACCTACAGCTGGGTGCTCACCGGGTAAGTTGGAGAAGGTAAAGCAAGGTACGATGCTCTGACTGGCTCTGCCAAGCCTGTGATCCCTCTGGGTGCCCTCAGCCCCAATGCACTGAAAAAAGAGCATCGATTTCAGCTGGACCCTTTCGGAGAGGGCAGAGGGGGAATCCATCCAGATAGACCTGAGTTCTTCGGGCTTCCTGAGAGACGGGAGAAACCAAGGGAGGGCTGGAAAGCAGAAGGAAAGCCATTTCCTGGGGATGTGGGGTGGATTTATTCCGAGTCACAGGCTTTGCTCATGCTGCCCTAGCAAAGGCAGCCTTTGGGGTAGAGGGAGCTGAGCCATCCTCACCACGATCCAGCCTGGTCTGAGCTGTTCATCCCACTTGTATGAAGGTTTTCTGGTGGGATTAACGTACTTAGTCTGGATTGAGTTGATCCCTTCAGGGATAGTTGAGCAGAAATGTTCTGTCTTGTGCAAGTGAAATCCTTTTAAGGAGGTTTTATCCCGCGTTGTCCTGGAGACTTGCCTGCTCTGGAGGTAATGCAGATCATCAGCCTGTGGTGGGCTGATGATCTTTTCTGGCTTCTCGTGGAAGCCCCTCAGGATTTCCTGGGGTGTTTGGAGGCGAACGAGGGTTTGGGGGTCCCGGCACGGCAGCCCCATCTCTGCTGTCTCCTCACAGGTTCACCAGCACGCTGGCCACCAATGACCCCCTGCAGACCCTCTTCCAGCTCATGTCGGGAAGGATCCCTCAGGCAGCGCTGGTCCGTGAGCAAGAGGCTGGCCCCGGCGTGTGTACCCCTGTGCTGTCACCTGCCTGTGACACCCACCCCGTGGTGACCATCTCTGCTCACCTTCGCTCTCCTCCTGTCTCCCTCCAGTGCTGCGGGGATGCCGCGTGGGGCGACTGGAGGCCCCACTTGGCCGTGATGTTGTCCAACAAGGTTGGAGACACGGAGCTGAACCATCGAGCCATCGTCACCATGGGAGACACTTTGGGTGAGCAGAGGCCGTTGCGAGCAGTTACGCTCCCGCCGCCTTGTAAAAGAGGGCGGACACCTGCAACGTCACCGTGCACGTCCACACTGGCGTGGATGGAGGCGCCGAGGTGGGGGGTGCATGCCCGTACCCCTGGAGCTGCGGTGCCTGTACGGGGTCAGGGATGAGGTATTGATGGATCCTGCTGTGCCCTTGGTGCTGGTGGATGAGTCGGGCTCAGGCGCATCCATTAGCTGCTCTCTTGGAGACACCTGGACCCGGAGAGCACGTACACAACTGCTGGGACTGAGACTTGCTCCCGACGGTGGGGGCTCTTGGGGCTTTCATGCCAATAAAGGCTGCAGAGTTGAAGCTGGACCCAGGCTCCCCTGGTCCTACCACTAAACTGAAACAGTCTCCTAGGTACAGAAAGCAGGAATCAGAAAATGAACAAAAAATAGAGAAGGGGAGGGATGGGGGCCTGCATGGACAAGGGAGAAAAGTGGAGCGGTTGGGTTTGGGTTTTCATGTGGGCTTGGGGGGCCTCCAATGCAATGCTGTGACCACACGGTGACCTCTCAGGACTAAATAATTGTCTTTTTTCCTCCTGTCCAGCTGGCAAGGGAGCAGTCGAAGCAGCTCATTTCTGCTACCTGATGGCAGATATTCCCTTCAGTTACTTTGGGGCGAAGGCAGACCGCATGGCTCTGCTGGGCAGCAGCCACCGGTGAGCGAGCTCAGGAGGCGGTGCTCTTGCCACAGCAACGTGTCCCACCTCCTCCCCATCCCCAGGATCTCACTTTTATGCAACAGCAATCCCCGTTTGTGGGTTTTTACTGCTCTTAAAGTGAGCTTTGCTCCAGGCCTCTCCGGCTCCGGGCTGGCACAGCGGTGGAGCTGTGAATCGGCGTGCGGGGGCTGTCTGGGGAGAGAGCTCCACTCCTGCTTGCTGACCCTGCCCCTCTCCTCTGCAGTCAGGGGTTTGCCCAGTTTGCCAGGACGGAGGCTGTCCAGCGGATGGAAGTCTTTGAGTACTGCCAGCAGCTACGACAGCGCGAATCCTTCCCGCTCCCCTTCCAGGTAGCGGAGGTGCAGAAGCACATCTGGTGCAGCAGCTCAGACCTGCCCCTAAACATGCATCCATCCCCCTTGAAGCCAGGGATTCAGGCTGCTCGCCAAGCCTTGTCCCCTCGCCGGGCTTTGGGAGCGACGGGAAGGCTGTCCCAGCTGAGGGGCTCCTCCAGGGCCAGGGCTTTGGGCAGATTTTTGGGGCGCGGTGTGTATGGTGAGTGCTTGCTCAGGTCTGGTTGCCTTTCCGCTCTCTGGGTTTCGGATAGGCTTTTCACACTGACAATCAGGCACTGCACTGATCGGGTGGATAAATGAAGGTGGTGGGCTGGCGTGCTCCCCCCACGGCCCGCCTGCCGGCGCTGGGATGGTCAGGCATTGCAACAGTGATGTGTTTTGGGGAGCGAGGCTGGCTGGCCCCATGGGGATGGGCAGGGGTGCCCCCGAGCTGCAGGTGACCTCTGGGTGATGAGACCCACGATCCAGGGTACTCTGAGTCGTGCTGGAATGATGCTTGTGTGTCCCCTCTGCCGTGGCACATCTCCTTGCTCACCTATGTCTGCTCTGCTTCCCTCTCCTCAGGCGTACAAGCTCCTTTATGCCTCTCGCTTGGCCGACTACGGGCTCCCAGCCCAAGCCCTGCAATACTGCGAGCAGATCGCCACCGCGCTCCTGGGCCAGGAGTTGGCCAGCCACCCTGTCCTGGCCCAGCAAGTGATGAGAGTGAGTCTTGTTACCCCCCTCCTGCCTCCTTGGCAGGGCATGATATCCATGCGGTGGGAAGCATCCTCAGGGTTTCCCCGTGGCTGGGGGTGCTTGGCAGCTCTGAGCAGCCCCCCCCCAGGGCTTGCTGCTTGATGTGTGAAGAGCATGGCAAAGCCAACACCTCTACAGGGTCTCATTCTCATGGATTTAGGGTAGGAAACAAAGGAACTGTGTTGACTGCCCAATGGGAGCAGAGTTATTTGGAAGCAAAGGATGTTTCTTTTTATTCTGGAGATGCTTTTTGAACATCTAAATGGCACTGACTTAAGCAGCACATCATCCCCTGATTTCGTTTACCTGCCAGGGGGTCTTCTGGGGGGACAGTGAGTAGGAGCGTGTCCCAGCTTGCAACACTGGGACACGCTCCACCACTTCATGAGCAGGGTGCTTGGGCAGGGAGGGGTGAAGCAAAGCGTCCGAGGTCCCCTGGACAGGTTGGGCTCTCCGGGAGAGTGGGTCTGCCCACTCCACACACATCACCGGGGCAGTGCTGAGCCTGCTCAAAGCCTTCCTCTGTTGGGAGCTGGGTAAAAGCCACGGTGCTGTGAGATGAGAGGCAATAAGGATGCCCGTCTGAAGCAGGTGTTGCAGAAAAAGCCCAAAATTTGGCTCACGCGATGCCCCCCACCCCGTCGTTGAAACCTATTTACTAACAGCCTCTCAGATCTGCTGTTCTGCTGGGGATAATGTTTCTCCTGGGGGAACACACTTTCATCTGAAAAACTAGTGCATTGGTAGACACTCTTGTCTTTGATGTTTTAGACTGTGTTACAAATTATGATACACATTAGTGTTTGATTAAGACTTCCCCTCTTTTGAAGCTGGGGACGATATACAACCAGGTGCTGGTTCATTAATATTGAATCAAAGTGCACATTAGCTTTTGGATTAAACATTCCCCCCGTTTAGGAGTAATCATGCTTATAATTTCCTCTTTCCTGCAATTGATTTAGGATGAACACATGTGTGTTTGCAAAAAGATGGGACTGTGGATCTGTAGGTAGTGTAAGCTCCCGGCTGGGTGCTGGGTTGTTCCACTCTCCATGGCCAGTCCCTGCCTTAAGGCTCTGGCTGCGTGGGTCATGTCTTGCTGTAACTGAACAGAGTTGGGAAGTGTGTTTTGTGCTGGTTTGGACTTTGTCTTTAAAAACTTCGGGAATAGGGAGAAATAGCCAGTGGGGACTGGTGCGGAAGGGATAGCTGAGATGTGTGGCTGAGCTGCAAAGTCACCTCTGAATGACTTTTGGTGGCCCTTGATGCAGCAGCCTCATGGCAAAGCGTAGAAGATAAATGAGTGTGAAGGAGAGGGGAGGGAATCTGATAAATACCCAAGTGGTGAGTTGATTCCAGCAAGAGGAAAATTTAGTAGAGGCTCAGGTGAAGAGCAGTGCTTTGAGTGTCATCTCCCCTCATCCAGCTGTCTTAAGTGGACTGTTTCCTAAGCAATTTCTCCAGACTGGGATTTATCTCTGCAGGGAGCCTTCCATCTCACCCTGGCCTGGTGGGATGGGTCACCCCAGAGGGCCTCTTGCACCACTGATGGTGGCTGGAGCCTGATGTTGTTGAGATGGCTGCAGCGGGGGTGGCACAAACCCCTTTCTTGCAGAAGAAATTAAATGTGCAGTAGCAATACTGCGGAGAGGGACCTGGGGGAGATAGTGGAGCATGGAAAAAATACTGAGCAGCAATATAACAGGATGCTCTTGCAAAAAAAAAAAAAAAAAAAAAGGAAAAAATAAATCCAATGTTATAATGTTATTTTGGGCTGTGAGAGCAAGAACAGCACGTGTGAGACAAGGAGGTGATAATCCCCCCCACCGCTCAGGTGTCGGGGGTCTTGGCTAGGGCACCGTGCCCTGTGCGGGATGCTGCTCTCAGACAGGGCCAAACTGGAGCAAGAGCAGAAGAGAAGAGCAGGGGTGATGAGAGATTGAGGAGAAATGACCTCTGAAGAAGGCCTTGGAGTTCTTTTTTTTTTTTTTTTTCCAGGCAAGATATGCTGGGGGAGGAAGGGGTACGGGGGATGTGATAACAGCCCTCTGGCACGCAGGAGGCTGCTTTTCAGGGGATGGTGCCTGACTGTCCCCGCAGCTTCTGTGGGAGCAGGAATTGAGAGGTTTGATTTGCAGCAGGGAAGATTTCACTTAGATTTTAAGAAAAAATGCTTTACCTCTAAGGACATTAAGCATCAGGACAGGCCTGGGAGGCTGTGAAATCTTCTCCTTGGAGATTTCTAAGAGCAAATCGGACAAACAGGGGCTGCACGGGCTGGTGTGGGCACACAGGATTTTCTCGAGCTTTGGCAGATGGCTCGGACAACCTCAGGAGGTCCCTCCCAGCTCTGCATTTCTGTTGTTTTCTGCGTGGCTATTAGTGATGGCAATGCTTGTTGCAAAGCCAGGTGAGGAGATGGCTAGGTGTGAGCCCTTAGGTCAAACCCTACCAGCTCCCATCCATCCTTGTCGGGGGTAGGTGAGGGGTTGGTGCACAGTGCTGGGAGCTGGGCTCTTTCCAGGGCTCCTGGTTGGGGTGTCCTGCAAAACTGCTGGTGCTCCGGGCTGGCTGTCAAGTGGGATTAAAGGCTCCCATTTCCCTCAGAGGAGAAAAGGATGCTAATAGTTACCTGCCTCTCCGATGCGAAGAGCATCTTTGACAATCGGCACTTTGACACCTCTGGGGGTGGCTGAGATGGCCCCGCTGGGAGGTTCTCTGCGGGGCACGGGGTGGGCCAGCACCTCTCTGTGGCAATGCAGGAGAGAGAATAAGTCTCGCAGGAGAGGCTGGTGTTACTTTTCCCCCTTTATTACGAAGAAGTGCAGCTCTGGTGCTATTTTCCCCTGGGCCTCGGTGCCCGGCCACGTGCAATTGCCAGGAGGGCCGGTCTCTTCCCCGAGGAGCTGAGGTGTGACGAGCCCTGTTGCCCTCCTGGCCCCGCAGCTAGCCGAGCGGCTGAAGTTCTCCGACCCTCTGCTCCTGGAGATGCCGGAGCAGGACCAGACTCTGGAGCCCGACTGGCTGGTACAGCTCCGAGCCTGCTGCCGGGAGTGGGAGGTAAGGAGGAGCGGGGATGTCTGTGCTGTGGTTTGCAGGAGCATCCTCTTCCTCTGCCCTGAGGGGATGGGTGTGGAGGTTCCACGGCCTTTGCTACCCGGGTGCCTTTCTCCCCTTGGCTTGTGAGCTCAGAGATGTGATCTCTGCCGTGGCATCTGCAGCTTCAGCAGGAGCAGGGGGGTTGCAGCACCCGAGGGTGTGAGCAGTGAGGGCTGCAGAGCCTTGCCCGGGGCAAAACACTCCTTGTCTTACCCCAGGGAAGGCTGTTGGGCCAGTGGGTGAATGATGATCTCGCAGTGAGGATGTTGCAGAGGATACTGGTGGGGCATCACCTTGCAGACGTGTGCTCTCAGGCCCCTTAACAGCGGTCTGGTCCTTGGATTAATGCTTTTCGTTCAGGTTTCATGGCTGCTTTTGGTTTTGTGCCCTTTCCTGTCTCCAGTTTCCCCTCCTGCTTGCTCTCAGCAGGGCAGCGGTGCTGCAGCCCCCTTCGCTTGCTGGGACAGAGCCATGAACGTGCTGGTTGGGGTCTCACCTGTAACCTGGGCTCCCACAGCCCAGGTTGGGTTGTGGTCACCGGACTCACCAGCACCATACTTTCCCTTGCACTGACTTTGTGGTTTTGTTGGTCTTTGCCCTGTGCCATCCCTTTTTTTCTCCATCTGTTTTACCACGTTTTCCCTCTGACTTGCTTACAGGTGGAAGATGACCTCCCTCCAGAGGTGGCACCCGCTCAGCCAGGGCTCTCCTGGGCTGATGCATCGAAGGCAGGTAAAGAAAATGAAGCAGCAGGTTGTGGTCACCGCAGTGGGCTTCTCCACACACGGAGCTGTGCTGCCGTGGGCCGGGAGGCAGCTCCTTGCTCCTCAGAGCATGTCTCAGCAGCTGCTCCTTGATCCTTACATCATCCCCCCCCGCCCAGAGCTCAAAATCTTGCTTCTGCCTGGGTGCATCCCTCTGGCATGGGGCTGCCAGGGATGGGCTGCAAACCGAGGGGTTGGTGCTCGTGCCCTCCCTACGAGGACTGAGTAATTTGGCCTAATTACCGCCGCTTCGGAAGTCCCTGTGGGCTCTGGGGGAGGAGAAGGGGGGGCCGGAGGCAGGATGAGGCACGTGCCTCTTGGCTGAGCCTTGGGGGACATGGCCCTGTTCCCAGGCAGTCCTCCAAGGACGCAAATTGGAGCTGAACTAAAGGGATTTCACACTTGCGGAGCAAAAGATTCAGGCAGGAGCTCATCCCTCTGCGTGCCGCGCTGCAGCCAGCATTTCCCCTTCCCCACCACCTCGCTCCTCCCCTTGCTTTGCCTCTTGGTGACCCCAAGAGTCCCCTCCAGTGTCAGTCAACGCAGAGGGTTAAGAGACATCAAGATGAGGGACACGAGCCTCCCCCGGGGGGCTGTCAAAGGAAGGGCTGGAGAGCCATCCTTTCCTGGCCAGGCAGCGTGTCCATCGGGATGTCCTACTGAGAAGAAGTCAGGGGCTGGTGACCCTTCAGCGTTGCTTCACGGCCACCTCCATCAGCAGGGTGCCCAGACACGGCCTGCTGCTCCGATCTAGCTTTCTGCTGGGAATGCCAGCACTGATGGGTGGAGAATAAAGGCTGATGCAGACAGGATAAAATGCCAAATTCCTCTTCAAAGAGCTCTCCCAGCCAGTGAAAAGGATCATCAATCCTGATTGCCTTCTGCTGCTATCAGGGCTGAGGCTATGATGGTCCTTCCCTGGAAACAAGTTGCAGGTATGACGGGATGGCTTCTCCCAGCAGCCAGCTCTGCTCCAATGTGGTCTCCACAGCTTGCTTTCCCCATGCTTGGCCCTTTTGTTCATTGAGAAGGCCGTCCAGAGTCACCACCTGAGGGACCTGCATGCAGAGAAAGCTGACTTGGTGCTGAATTCATCTACCTTGGAAAGACAAAGCTGGAATCAAGGTGCCAAGCTGGGATCCGTGTGGTCACAGCAACCTTCCTCTCCATCCTTACAGCCTGGGCTGTCCTCCCTGAATTTTTCTAGCTGAGTTTGCCCCGGCAGCGTGGAGTCGAGCATCCATCCTTCTCCCTGTGGATCTCAAGCGTCTCCAGGCTGTGTGGGAGCAGGAGCAGCTCGTGGTTGTGAAGGCAAACCCGAGCGGGCTGGAGGTGATGCTGGCAGGCAAAGCAAAGGGTTTTGTAGCACTGCATCCCAGAGGTGCCAAAGTCAGTCCCCAGACTGAGACCTACAGGGTCTGGATCCCATCTGGCCATGTCTCACGGCGATGGGAGAGAAATTTCCCAGTGCCCAACATGTTTCTGGCAGGAGGTTGAAGAGCTGGAAGGAGCAGGACATGCACTTGGGACCAAAGGCAGCGTGCTGCCTGCACTGTGTCTAACATCAGACAGAGCATCGTGTGTGTGTTAAATAAAACAAGCCCCACTTGCTCAACCTGCTTTTCAAATGAAAAAAAAAAAAAAACAAAACAACAACAAAAAAAAAACCCCAACCCTGAATAAATCTGCCTAAAGCAAGGAACTCATCTGTGGGCACTCCTGTGGAGCAGGAATGAAGGCTGCAGCTTCGTGGTGCTAGGGGTGTGCAGCAGGAGTGGAAGAAAAGGCTGGAGGCCCCGGGCTCCTTTGAACTGCCGGCGTGTGCTGCTCGTGCTCGGTCTCTTTGCTTCCATAACATTCCTCTCCTGAATTTGTTTGCAACCTCAGGCACGTTCCCAGGAGGTTTCTCCCCCGGTCTTTCACAGCCTCCCTTCCTCGAAGCCTCTGAGAGGTCCCCGTTGCCGCACGGTGCCCTGCCTCCTCCCTCACCCACGCGTGGTCCCCGGGGTCCCTCCTCACCCCCCAGCTCCTGCTGATGTATACTGGAAAAGGCAAAAATTCTGCCTAACAGCCTGATGAAATTATAAGCAGTGGAGTAAACTCCTGATGTGTGTGTTTTTGGTTTGGTGTTTTTTTTTTTTTTTTGGTGGTGTGTTTTGTTTGTTTGTTGTTTTTTTGGTTTGTTTGTTTTCTTTTTTTATTTTGCAGATGGAGAGCCTGGCTATGAGCTTCCCCAGAGCAAAGGCTACCGGTATGACCAGGGCTACCACCCTGTGGCACCCCAGGGACCCAGCTCCCACGAGGAAATGTCTCTCCATCCCCCAGTACCTGCTCAGGTTGCAGCGTCGCCCTTGCTCGGCGTTGAGCAGGACCTGCAGCCCCCCACATTCAACCCAGGAGTGGACACCCCTCCGGGAGGGGATTGTGCTGAGCCCCCTCCACAGGCTGTGCCACGGGCGGGTAAGTGCTCCAGCCTTGTTTCTCTGCAAAAATGCCTGTCCACAGTTCATAGCAGTGGGGTGGGGTTGTCCCTTTTGGGGGGGGGGGGGGAAGTGAGATCCCCCTACGGCTTTTGTGTCACTTCAAATGCTGCTCCCTGCCAGCGCTGCCTTCACCCAGTGCCTTGTTTCCTTCCAAGCTTGCCCCGGTGCCATGCACGCAAACTCGCTGCCCTGGGCAGGCAGGGCTTCGCTTTTTGGAAGACCTTGCCCCAAACAGCAAGGGAGGACAGCTGTGGGTTGGTGGCAGTGCTGTCCCTTCCCTGCCAGATGGGAAAACCGGCAGTGAAAGGCAGGCTTTTAAGATGCACCAGTGCAGTTCTTGTGTCCCTGGTGCTGACAGGGACCGAAATGGCCTTTTGCATCTCTTGGGGGGGGGTGGATATCTTAGCCACGCGGCCTTGCTTGATAGAAGCACTGACAATATCTCTGATAGACACGGCAGGAGCTCCTTGGGCCAAGCCCTGACTGTGTCCTTTCCTCCGCTCCACAGGAGAAGCTGGGGAGCCCCGGGGCACCCCACTGTCCCCTGAGGGGGTGCAGCCACCCCTCCCAGCAGAGCAGGTAAGTCAGAAGGCTCAGGGAGATCATCCCATTGGGGGTCCCAGAGGGAGTTGGGACTTGCTGGCTCATCTTTCCACTCACTTAACTTGCACAGAACCACCCCCCCCCTCCTCCATCACAGTGCCAGCTGTCCCCTCGGGGACCTGACAGCGTAGTCCTCTCCAGGCTCCTACTTCTGGGACCATGGGCTGCCCGCTGCACCCTGCTGTGGGTGCCATCCCCGGGGCTGCTATCTGTTAAGCCTGGCATGGAGGAGTCTGGGGACGTTCTGATCATCTTTGGTGGGGGGGTCCTCTGGGAATACCAAGTGACAGCTCTGCTCTCCAACGCCAGGAGGAGTTAACGGCGAGGCCGCGGACCATCTCGGAGAGCTCCACCGTCTCCTTGGAAGACGACAGCCGGCCTTCCTCGGAGAGCGCAGGCGAAGACACTGCTGAAGAGCCGGCGCGGGCAGAGGCGGTGAAGCCGGGTGAGGATAAGGTGAGCATCCCAGAGCCGATGTGAAGCCCCATGCTCCGAGCTTGCCTGTCCCTGACGCCCGCAGTGCCTGCCCTGACCTGGTCACTGCCGCTCCCGGCCAGTGTTGGGGACATCTGGGTGGCCGTGGCACCCTCCCCTTCTCACCCATTTCCACTGACTGTGGCAACTTCCATTTCCCAGACTGGATTCAGGTGGTTTGGCTGGTTTCGGTCGAAGCCCACTAAGGAAACATCTCCTAAAGCTGTGTCTGAGACAGCCCCAGACTCCCCCAGGCCGGGACCACAGGTAGGGGATGAAAGGCTGTCCTGTCCCCCGGTGACACCCAGGGTTATATCTCCCCCTTCACCCATCATTCATGGCCATAGTTGCTCTGTGTGGGGACAGAGTGGGACTGGGAGCCCTTTTGACCTGGAAGTGAATCCTTGATTAATAATAATTGTAAAATTTATAAAGCTTCTTTGATCCTGGAGGTCCGCCGAGCACTTGGCAAACTCCATGGGGATCTCTTGCCTTCTGCCGGAGCGGAAAGCAGCAGCAGCTGTGAGCGGCACTGCTCAGGAAGATTTTAGGAGCCAAAGGGAATGAAAAACCTCTTTAATCGGAAGCCCAGCAGAGAGGGGAGCAGTCCTGTGTGGTTACCCCAGTCCTGGCCGAGTCCTTGGGGTGTCACATCCCTATCTGCAGCTGGATGATGGGCTTGGGGGCAGATGTTAGAGCGAGATCTTCCTCTGGAAGCTTCCTTCTGGTTGAGAATGACCTACAGTCCCAGAGCAGGAAATTTTGGGATATTCTTCCAAAACCAGCAGGAGATGAGGAACAGAGGGGTCGGTGGAGCCTGGTGGCCCTTTACACTGTACACAGGCTTGGTGTCCAGCCTCATTCTGAGCGCTCGGGGTGATTTAGCTTTGCACCAGGGGCTGCTTGCCCTGACCCTGCAGCTCCCCCTTAGCTTGGGTCCCTGCGGCTCTTGGGGTCCCTGTCCAGCAGGTCGGGTGCAGAGCAGTACCCCAAAGGTGTGGTGCGGTACCTGGTGCAGAGCTCTTCTCGCCACGCAAGGATCTTCTGCTCTAAACGGGTGGCTGTGGTTTCAGGAATGGATGTTGCCATCCCCACCCAGCGCCCCTCTCACGGCTGGGACAAGCCCTTCGGCTCAGCATCCCTCAAGAAACTCTGGTAAATGCCACGCGGGTGCCCTCCCTGTCAGCCCTTTAGAAGCTGCTCCTCTTAATTTTCAAGAATTTTTTTTTTTTGTTTTCTTCCTTTGGTTGCATGCCTCAGGAGGAATGCAAAGCGAAAATACCTTTCGTGTTACGCCAGTGTCCTTTGAGGTGAAGAGCTCGTGGGATGCGGATGGGGGGGAGGCAGCAGGAGAGCAGGTGAGCAAAGGAGGGAGGTGTATGTGTGTGTGTGATTGAGGGGGGGGGGGGGGTCCAGGACACATCTCTAAGTTTATCTCCCTTCACCCCTCCCAGACTGGCTCCCCTGAATATCCCCCACCAGTGGGCACAGTCCCTCTCTTCAACCCTGTCCAGATGTCTCAGGTGAGAGCATCGCTCTGGGGGGTGTTGCTGGGTCGGGTTGGGGGTGGCTCCTGGGTTTGGGGGTGATGCTGGAATGCAGACAATCTGCTAAAGGGGGGGATACCAGCCCTGGGTTTGGTGTTTTTAAGGGAATGATTTGGGAGGACAGTGATGGGGGAGGTGGGGGATATGCTCGTGGCTGCATCCTGAGGACGGCAGGGTCGCGTTTTTGGGGGGTACCACCCTCCTTTATACCATCTCTTTCCGCTTCCCAGCTCGCCGCTGCCTCTCGACCCAACCAACCCAGGCTGCTTTCCCGGCGGCGGTACCCTAACCCGCTGTGAGCAGATAATCGCCGTCTGTGGTGTCAGAATTCACCATTTCGGTTAAAAAGCATTCTGCAAATGGTGTTTGTTTAATTTCTTTGGTGGGTGGGGAAAGGAAAAAAAAAAAAAAAAAAAAAAAAGGGTGTCCGGGGGAGAGTAGTCTGAATTGGGTTGTAGGGCGATGCCCCACCTCACCCATTGGACTCAGCGATCGCCGGCCGTGAGTCTGTCTCAAAGCGCCGCGGGGGCCACGAGCATCCACCGGGGCCCCGTGGGTTCCGGGTGGGGGGGGCGGCGCACGGTGGCCCCGCCCCCGCTCCGCCCCTTCCCGCCGCCGGGAACCAGCGCGGCTTCTCCTGCCCAGTGCCCGGCCCGAGAGCCGCGGCGCCCCCCCCTTGCTGGTGGCTCACCCGCCCCTCGCGGGCGGGGCCCTGCTGGAGCCGCGGGCGGCCCTTCCCTCAGACCTTCCCCGAGGCGGGGCGTGGGTGACGCGCACCCCGTGGGTGGCCTCGGCGGTGAGCTTCCCCCGGACGCTCAGAGTTCCCCCCGCTGCGGTATATATAGGCTCGTCCTTCCGGACCCTTTCGGTCAGGGTGAGCGCGGCCCAGCGTGCACTGCGCCGCATGCTAATTAGGAACCGCCCCCCCCGCCGGGGAAGGTAAAGCGCGGGCCGCTTCCCGCCCGCCGCTGGCAGGGCTGAGGGCTCACGCGTGACGGGCTGTGAGGTCGGGCTGCCCTGGTGACGCAGGTGGGGCCTGAAACCTTGCTGTGGGGCCGGGGCCCGCTCGTGATAGGCTGTGGGGGCCAAACCTGGGGTTGGGGCCCGATTCTGATGGCCTGTGGGGCTGAAACCTGCCTGTGGGGCTGGGGCCCGCTCATGACAAACTGTGGGGTTGAAGCCTGGGGCTGGGGCCCGCTTCTGATGGTCTGTGGGGCTGGTGTCCCATTGTGACAAGCCGTAGGGTTGGGACCCGCTCGTCACGGACTGTGGGGCCAAGACCTGCTCGTGACGGGTCCAGCCCACCCGGGGAGGTGCTGCGAGGGCTGGGGGCAGTGGGGGTGAGCTTGGGGGTTTAGTTTAAAACACCTCCGGCTGCTCAGGTGGAAGTCACGGGCTGAGCCTGGGCTGCCACGCTGGGGTGAGCCCGGCTCACGGCAGCACGTGATTCTGGGTGGATTTTTCTGGGAGTGGGGCTCCCAGTCCTGGGGTGTTTCTGTCTCGGCGTGGGGAGAGGGATGCTGGGGCTGCGGCCCTGCTGGGTGTCCTCGCAGCTCTGTGTGATCTAGCCCAAAACCGTGTGCCCCAAAACTTTCCTGTTCCTCAGTTGCAGGGCGTTGTGGGCAGCGGTGCTCGCGGGGCAGCGTGTTACCTTCTTGCCTTTGAAAGGGCTTTTTGCTGTCCTCCGGTCTTCTGAGTTGGTTTAAAGGGGCTGAGCAGTACAAAAAGCTCTCACCTTGGGCCTTAAAGCTCCTGCTTTTCTGAGGTTGAACATCCTGTTCCTCAGGCAAGCTCTTTTTTGGAGGAAAACGATAAACACAGGGGGCTTCTTCCTTGTATAAGCGTTCAGATCTGGCAAATATTTTTAGAAATAAATCTTGTGGTTTGGGGATCACTCCTCTGATACTTACTTTCTGATTCTACTCTTGATTCCTCCTGAGGTTTTAAGCAGTTGGGTAGCAAATTTTTTCTGAAGTAGCGTGCTGCAAATCCCTCTGGGAGAGGCTTTGCAGTCGTGCATGTGGGGGCACAGGAGTTTCCTTGCTTCCATGTGGCCTGTTGCACTTTCTAGTCTCGGTACCACGCGCATGTGGAAATAACGAGTCATAAAAGAGTGAAGAGGCACGTCTGGTGCGTGTCTGATACACACGAGTTGGGTGTCAGGCTTCAGTGAAGGAGCTAAAAAAAGGAGAGGCTGTGGGTGATGTTGGTGGCTTCTCGCAGCAGGGAGGGCATCTCGTTTTCAGTGAGATGTGATCTTCCATTAGCTTTTTTTTTTTTTTTTTTTTTTTCCTGTAGAAATGCAGAGGTAGGGCAGCTGTCTGCTTGGACTAGGAGGAGCTCATTTTTTTTCATGTGCTGCTTTGGGTGTTTCAGAGTTGATGAGAGTATCCTGGGAAAACTAGGTGCCTGCAAAGTTTTGCTTTCTTGTGGCCTACCAGTGATCTCGAGGTAAACTGCAACTAAGACTCTTTTTTCCTTTCCCATGGTCTCCGGAGAGCACTGGAAATGCATTAACCTGATGCTAATTGTTAGTCTGATTGATGGCAGCAATTAGGGTCTGTAATCTGAGATCAAGTCTCTGCTTTGTGGAGTGTAACTGCTGCCTGGGGGAAGCTCTCTGCTAAATACCCTGAGCTGGGACTCTTCGAGGAAGCCCTGAGATGCTCCTAAAGGCCACCAGCTTGTAGATGGAGGTGCTCGTGTTCCCACTGAGCTGGGCTAACTGTGCCCGAAGCACCGTGATTTACTTCCGAATTACACACCTGGAGGTGCTGGTGAGATGCTGCTCCCAGGCAGGGTTGCCGAGAGGAGGCACTGCTGTGCCCGGCTTTGCAGCTCGGGCATCTGCTGCCCAGATGCTTTCAGTGTCCTGAGGGTCCCGCTGGGCATGGCAAGGCCAGGCTCATTCAAAACTGTTATTTATTAAAAGAAGTGCTGGGTGATGACCTTGTCTCTGTCCCTTCAGCTCCTGGTGACATCTGTGATGCAGTTGGCCTTAAGAGGTCACTCATTTCCCCTCACTTAATGATCTGCTGTAGAAAGCAAGCTTTCATTGCTTGCTCAGAGTGTCAATGGGACATGAATATTAATGAAACCTCGGTGGTCTTGTGGCGGTAACTGTCACAGCCACGGAGGGCTCATTTGGAGCTGCCGGGCACTGCAGGGAAGTCGGTGATGGAGCGATAATAAAGTGTTCGTGAACTCTGCTCCGAGGTGCTGCTCGGGACTTTGAACTTGCAGGTTCCTGGCACAGCAGTGTGAGACTGGCTCGGTGCTTTCGAAAGCAGGCTCTTGCACAGCAGCGGGAGCATTAGCAGGGGAGGGACTCACGGGGATATTTTGGGTGCTGCAAGTAGGAGAGAGTTTGTTGGTTGCAATTTAAGGTGGTGAATGGTCTGGTTAACGGAACCTGATGTTCTCTGAGGCCCCGAGCTGGGAACAGGGCAAGGGAGATACAACGCAATATCTATTAAAATGGCCTCTTTGGGCTGCTGGTACTGGGTGGGTATCACCGTAAGGATGGGACGGTGGCTGCTCTGTAGGTACAAGGGAAGAGCATAATCTTGTCTGCGGGAAGCGGGCTTTTGCTGCATTAATCCAGGCAAATCCCTTCCAGCTTCTGCAACCCTGTGTAGAAAAGTTGGGGTAACAACTGAGGTCTTGTAAATAAAACAGTTGTCTTTGGAAAACCGAGGCTTTTACTAATCTGGAGTATATTACACAGGCCTTTTAACAGGGCACGTTCAGGATATGCTCTTGAATGGCAGCAAAATTTCTCACCAAAAGATTACATTGGAGAAAGAATGCCAGGTTTAGGTCTTTTGCTCTGAACCCCTGTGTGTCTCCTGAAATGAGAGCCCAGGGTCGAGCTATGTGGGGTAGATGGTTGGTGACTCTTGTTTTCTTAACTGTGGAGAAGAATCTGCTTCACTCCTGGGGTAAAGCAGACCTGACTCACCCTGCTTTCGCTTACAGCAGTATCTTCTTCGCCTCCATCTCAGGGTGTTCCCTGGCCATAGTGATTGCTGGGGCCCTTCTGCAGAGATTTCTGCTGGATTAGGGCTTTAGGATTTTGGCAGTATCTGGTTATAGTAATGGGCATCCTCCTTCAAAACTTCTGTATACCAGTCCCTGTAGGAATTGCCCCATTGCCGACCAGGCTTTTGCACCATGCTATATTGTTGTGTAGCCTCTTGTTACACAGAAGGACTGTTCCAATTTCTCTGACCAAAAGGAGTGTTAACTTTCCTGCAGATCCTGCCAGGTATGGCACAGCTGAGCTCATTTAAGTTTTTAAAAAAGCTGTAGGTGTTGTCTGTGTTTGTCTCCAAGCTATGGCCATTGCAGGCTGTCAGGTCTTAGCAGTGTAGAAAGCCTGCCCGCCTTCTGTGAAGTTTCTCGCTTCCTTCACTTAACACCCAAGGATAAAATGCAAAGGTGGGAGTCAACAGCTGTGTGCTAATTGTTATCACAATGTCCGGCAGCCTCCTTCAAACTGGCTTCCTTTTACGGTAAGTGAGGTACCAGCAGATCAGAAGGCTGATCCTTCCCTCCTGCTCCCCAGAAACTTGCGGAAGAGCTTGGCTGGTGTGGGAGCATCATGTGCCTGGGGAGCCGGCAATCAGTCCTGTGACCTGGTTAGTATGACCTGGGAGGGTTGTGGCAGAAGTAAGAGGAAAAGGGACATTTGCTGTGGTAGGAAGACTAACGGGCTGCCTTTAGGATGGATGCAGGATGGTTTCAGACCTCATATTTGCTCGGACACACTGGAGATCCTTAGCCCTGTAATGATGGTACGAAAGACTGACCTACAGAATCCTCTCTGAGCCTGTACCCATCCACCAGTGTTTCTGCAGTATAATCCACGTGAGTAAGAAGCAGGAGGGGCTGCTATACCTGCAAGCCCTGAGGGACCTATGCCACTGCTCTTGGAGATTTAAACTTCTGAATATTACCTCAAGGATGTGGATTATATTCATGGAGGCAAAAAAAGCAAAAAAAAAAAAAACTGTTATAAGCCTTTGGCAGCATAGGGTAAAAGCGTCACCTTTCTTGACATGTTTGTCTTGAGTGGAGATTGTATCTAGTGGTAGGATAAAGAGAAGTTGCATACTGTCTAGTGTTAATTACAAAGGGAAAAAACACATGAAAATCGAGTGAAATTGAATCCCACTGCATTTGATATTCCCAGAGTTGAAGGCCTCGGTGCATCTAATTAGTTTAAAAACCCTGATGGAGAGAGCTCAGCTTCAAACAGGAAATTGATATGACATTGAGACCTAGGAGAGGATTAGCT